GAAAGGTCGATGGGCACGACCTCGTGAGGGCTTCACAGGACCCAGGAGGGCATGGCAGCTCTTACCAGAGAGCGTCCGGAGAATCAGGAAGCCTCGCAGGGTTTTAAGCAGGGAAGTGACAGGATCTGACACCTTTTTAAGTGGATTGTCAGGCTTCTGGGTTGAGAAGGGCTGGGCTGGGAAGGTGGCACCTGCCCGAATCAGGAGGGACATCCGCATGGTTCAGGCTGATCCGCCAGCAGCAGTCATGGGAACTGCTTTCTGTGTGTGCTGGGAATGGGCCATTAGGATTTTCTGAGGAATTACACTGGGGTATGAAAGAAAGAAAGAGATGGATGATTAACTCAAAGCATTTGCATAAGCAGCTGAGGGAGGTGTTGTGGCACCTGGGGTGGGGGTTCACGGTGTGGATGATACTTACCTCCCAGAGTGAGTGCCCGAAGGCACAGCATGCATTCTGTGTCCCACCTCCCTCACTGCAGGCTCTGTCCTGAGACTTGTTCTCCTCTGTGAATGGTGACTGAGAGGAAATAGCTCACATCACTTCCAGGTAGAAGCAGATGGAAGCACCTTCCCTGTTTCATCTTTCCCCATGCGGGGACCTCAGAAGCCTCACCAGTGACTGTGCAGCAGTCAGACCCTGAGTGACTGCGTGGAGTGGAGCTCTTTGCTGACAGCTGCACAGCTTCCGTGAATGAGAAACGAGCCTTCACTGCCTGCAGTCACCAAGGCCTGGAGGCTTCTCTGTTGAAGAAGCAAGCAGCCAGGTGGAGAAGGCTGTGGGTGGGGAAGCTGGAAGCTCAGTTCTGAGCCTTTTGAGTTCTCTATTAGACGACCAAGTGCAGACACCAAGCAGGAACTTGAAACATGAGTGAGCAGTCTGGAAGCGCATGACCTTTGTGTCGTGGAAAATGATAACCCTCCCCCAAAAACACAACTCAGTAGATAAATTGAACTATTTTGAGTTTAAGAAGCTCACTTTCTAAAGAGCAAGCCATACAATAAAATTAATGTGAAGAAAAACTATGCAAATTAACATGATGCTGTCATTTGTAATGTCATGTGACTAAACCTTTCGATCGCAGTGATAGTTTGTAATACACTGGTTAGTTCAGAAAAGTGCTGAGGCCTGGCGAAGCTGCTCAGGCATCCCAGAAACCCTGCTCTGTATATTGTCATAAAAATGATAATATTAAAAGCCACGATCTTTAAAATGAAGATGACCCCATGATATTTGGGCATAGGAATTCCCCAAGCTCTTACAATTCTTTAATTTCAACTTTGAATGGTGTTTCATTTTCAGCAACCACCTGCATAAATAATTCATTCTCTTTAAAGATGCTGGGAACTAAGCAACTGGGATAATTGACAATTTTGAAAGGAAGAAGATGAACGTGCATGTTATGGAAAGGTCATTTTTCCTATAAGGCTTTTCTCTCTGAGGATTTGTGTGGTGCTGAATGAAAAAATATTAAATCAACTAAAATATTTTTCTTGAAAATCTCATAACTTTACAAAATAAAGTTTCTTTTGTGTGAAGTTAAATAGAAATGAAAATTATAAGTGGAATATTTAGAATACATAATGCATCCTCTGTAGATAATTTTAATCTAGTCCAGTCTTTTAAAGTCAACATAGTTTTTTGTTTCATGTTAATTAAATATAGATGTGATTTGTCAAATTGAAAGTTGCACAATTTTTTAGAAAGAGATGTACGCTGCTATAAATAGCAAATACGAGGATGGTAAGTGAGCTTTAGGGGTGTTGGCTGTTGACTGGTGATATTAAATACAACTGATTTCCCCTTTGTCATACTGGAGCCTTGTTGCATTTACAAAGAGATAACAATGTAAGTCCGGCAAACCAGCTAGCTTCCTTTTTTTTTTTTTTTTTTGAGACGGAGTCTCGTTCTGTCGCCCAGGCTGCAGTGCAGTCGCGCGATCTCAGCTCACTGCAAGCTCCGCCTCCCGGGTTCACACCATTCTCCTGCCTCAGCCTCCTGAGTAGCTGGGACTACAGGCGCCCGCCACCTCGCCCGGCTAGTTTTTTGTACTTTTTAGTAGAGACGGGGTTTCACCGTGTTAGCCAGGATGGTCTCCATCTCCTGACCTCGTGATCTGCCTGTCTTGGCCTCCCAAAGTGCTGGGATTACAGGCTTGAGCCACCGCGCCTGGCTGCTAGCTTACTTTTAAATGAAATTCTCAGCATTTACTGAGGCCTCAGGTACCAGACATGCACGACCAGCTGCAGGTACTAAAAGGCAAACAACTTGGTCACCCTTCTTGACTTGTTACTAAAATAATAAATTATTTAAAACATGAAAAATAACTCTTGTTCATTGAAAAATTAAATATAAATATATTAAATATAAAATAATTAAATAGAAAATCAGGCAAGGATTTATAACTTACTTAAAGAAGTAGCCAGGTCCTAGCTGTACATATGGAAAAGTCCCATTGCTAGGCTGACTCTATGATGGCTAAAGCATATGGCACCGTTTTTTGCCAACAACGGGAAATGCCTGCTTCCTGAGCCACTTGCAAGGTTGATGGTCTTGAGGGAATATTACTTATGTCTTGGCGAAAGATCAATGGAGACAGTGGCATTTTAACTAGGGCCTTAGGGATGGGCTAGTCATTTCTTTCTCTAGTTTCTTTGAGTTCAATCTGATACCAATGTAAATCATCAGAAAAAAAAAAAATTGGCACCACTGTGGCTCCCCGTAGAAATGCTGTCACTGAACGGCACTTCCAGGTGTGCCTTTAATTGCTTGTATAATTACAGCACTATTCACGATCACACACAGCTAAGAAATTAGCACTGACTGAACAATACCATCTAGGATGCAGCCTCTGCTTACATTTCTGTGATTGCCCTGGAGAGGTTTCTTTTATTGTTTTTGAACCCCAAACCAGGATTGTTTCAAAGTTCACTTATTGTATCTGAAGGGTTTGTCTCCATTCTGTTTTTTTAAGAATTGACTTTTTAAAGCAGGTTTTAGATTCAGAGCAAAACTGAGAGGAAGGAACAGAGGTTTCCCACGTGTCCCCTGCACACACAGGCTGGCAGCTACCAGCCTGCTACCAGCATCCCCGCTGAAACAAAACAGTGGTTACAGCGGATGAGCCTCCAAGGGCACACACTATCACCTCACAGGGCGTCCACAGCTTCTGCTGGCGTTCACTCTTGGCGTTTGGCCCGATGAAGAAGGGTGGAGAGCGTAGGAAGCTGAGGGAGCCACTGGGGGTCCCGCAGGGAGCCTGTATTGCGCACAGACCACCAAATTCTGCACAAGAGGAGGCGCTTTGAGTGCATGCTCCTGAGAAATGGTCTGACCACATGCACATTTAGGAAGATGGCCAAGGAAAGGGGAGACGTCCATTTAGCTGGGCATTGGAAGGATCCAGAGGACAGAGAATAAAGCAACAGCTTAATGGCATTTACTTCAACCCCATGCCCAGCACTGCGTGCCTGCCCTTCCAGTGACAACGGCCTCTTTCTCCATCTTTACTTATTTTTATTTTAACTATATACATATATACAGTTATATATATGCTACGTGTATATATACTTAATATATTATTATTCAGTGTAATATGCATTTTAAATATTAGGTCGGTGCAAAAGTAATAGCAGTTTTTGCCACTAAAAGTAATGATAAAAACCACAATTATATCAACCTAATATATGTTCTATATTTTTCTACATATATGTTTTAAATATAAACCTTCTCCAATACTGTTTTGGAAATAGGTGTGATGCAATTAATACATTTCTGCACGAGTAGCTTATTCTTTTTCATTTAGCAGCACAGCAGTTTCCTAGAATAATCTCTTGGAGGGACACTATGTTCAGGAGGGGGTTCTCTGAAGACAAGGGTGGACATTTGGCCTCTGAGGACGCAGGTGCCACACAGCGCCCACACATCACCACAGAAACGGACACCAATGCTGCTTTGAACAAGACCTATTTCAGAGCCCATGTTGATTAGGAGAATCTAATTTACATGACTTCTGAGTCTCTAGAATTTCTCTGTAACATCACCAGGCTCAGTTGTTTTGAGCTGAGCCAAGCAGTGACTGGATAAAAATACTGTCCTGGCCTCTGGGGATGAAAGCGGATGCTGTGCCTGGGGGTTACTCTATGTTTAGTGGGACACTCTCCTCGTGAAGGTGTCTCCCTGTGCCCAGCTGTCCCTCCCTGTGTAGTGGGACACTCTCCTTGTGAAGGTGTCTCCCTGTGCCCAGCTGTCCCTCCCTGTGTAGTGGGACACTCTCCTCATGAAGGTGTCTCCCTGTACCCGGCCGTCCCTCCCTGTGTAGTGGGACACTCTCCTGGTGAAGGTGTTTCCCCACATTCCTGGCTGTCCCTCCCTGTGTAGTGGGACACTCTCCTGGTGAAGGTGTCTCCCTGGGCCTGGCTGTCCCTCCCTGTGTAGCAGGACACTCTCCCTGTGCATTCTGCTTTCATGCCTTTCTCACATCCCAGCTGTGGGGAGGAGCCCTTGGGTCAGGCATTCTTCAGAGCTGAGTCTTCAGAGCTGAGTGCAGCAGTGGAGCTCAGTCTTGTTGAGCAGCCGCTGCTTACGGCACAAACACACTCATACCCTTTAAATTGTTCTCTCCAAAGAGCCATTTCTGCTTTCAAAAATAGGAACACGGCGGATATTAGTTTCCAGAAAATGCTTTTTGGGACATCTTCCCAGCACAGAGCACCACCCTGTTGTATTCTCCGGAGCCTTTTCCAGCTACCGGATGCTTCCAGGAACGTTGGCTGGCTGCATAACAGTATGGGTGTCAAATGCATTGCCGTGATGTGCTGCAGGACGGAGCAACTGACTGGAATTTCATAGCCTCACGCCCAGCCCCGCAGCGAGTCCCAATGCCTTCCCTATCCACATGGAAATCGCTGACATTAGTGTCAGATGCGTGTGATAAATAACAAAGATAACTGTCTTTAGAAGGCACCTATTAGAATAAAAAACTCTTCTTGCTCTGTTAGCACCTCTATAGGACTTGTTTTTCAAACCAGCTTTTGATATGGTTTGAAGTAAAGTACCCTGAACATCGGAGGCAGCACAGTTAGAGCCCAGAGAGGGGTGTGCGGGACTTGGCTTGAGCTGCGGCTCCACGGGGCAGTGACAAGAATGTGGCCCTCTGGGCTGGCTGGACTCTGCTTCAGGAACCCAACAAGCACATGCTCACAGCACCTGCCGTGGGCCCATCCCTGCCCTGGGCACAGCAAGGGAAATGTCACTGCCTCTGCTGTAATGAGAGTGCGGGCAGGCAGCCCTCGCCCCCGCCGCACCCGCTCTGTGGCCCCTCAGTCGCTGGTGCTCCCTGGAGTCCAGCCGGGGCCTCTGCTTCCCGCCATGGCCTCTCCTGCCGGCTGGTGTCACTCAGCCCCACGGTCCTCAGTGTTCTCTGCAGACGAATGACCCCAAGCTTTCGTCTCTACTCCGGAGGGCTCTCCTGAGCTCCACACTTGTGACACGTCACGTTCCAGCTCAGATGTCTCACAATGTCTGGACAGGAGGTCACAGGAGGCACCTCTGAGGCCTGGGAGAAGCTCACCAGCATCCGTGGCCAGCCCCGCATCCAGGGCAGCACACCCGCCCGCGGCCCTCACCAGAGCCTGGAGGTCCAGCTTCACTCCTGCTGCAGAGGCGGTAGCACATTTGAAATCTCAAACTGGACTTTCTAGTCTGCTGTGTTTTCCTGCAGGCCCTCGCGGTGGTTTCCCGGCGGAGACACTGAACTGAGGAGACCAAGGAGGGAGGTGCCTCAGGGCGGCGTGTGGAGCTCACGTCCCAGACCATGTGCTGGGCCTTGTGAACACCAGACACTGAGTCCTTCCAGCAGCTCACTGGGTGCTACTCTTGTTGTTCTGCACATAAGGAACCTGTCAGAGAACTTCATTGACCCCAGTGATACAGACGACGGTTACGGAGTGTTAGCTCCTGTTCTAGGGATACAGAATCCGTCGTAAACAGCAGAAGGCCATTATTCAAAGGATCACAGGACTGGATCTTAGGAGGAGCTCTAAGAAAAACTGACCTTGGGTTCTCTCCGGCGGGCAGCGTCACAGGAGACACCCTGCAGGGAATACGGAAGCCTCAGCCACAGCTCTGACTCCATGTGCTTCATCACGGCCATGATGCTTCTCAAACGTCTGTGGGCATCGGGAGAAAGGACAGATCAGGGTGCAACACGGCCCACAGTCGCCTCTCACCACGACGGAAGGATAGGTGCATCTGTGATTGCACGCTTCATCAACAGGATTCTCCAGGAGGAGGCTGAGGTGAGCCTTCCAAAATCTTTTCTGCAGTCAATTTCCATCTCTATGTAGGTCTGTAAAATCATCCCTCAATGAATTGCCAGTTTGGTAAGTGGGCGGTTGACATGAAGCAACACCCCTGCTTTATCAGTCGCCTGGATTCCATTCAAATTGCAAACCTCTTCTGGCTTTGTATATTTCATTCCCTATTACTTCTTTCCATTTAAAAAAATCAGAATGTTACATTGACTCATGGTGAAAATGTTTTATAATCCCAGCACTTTGGGAGGCCGAGATGGGCAGATCACAAAATCAGGAGATAGAGACCATCCTGGCTAACATGGTGAAACCCCATCTCTACTAAAAATACAAAAAAAAAATTAGCCAGGCGAGGTGGTGGACGCCTGTAGTCCCAGCTACTCGGGAGGCTGAGGCAGGAGAATGGCGTAAACCCGGGAGGTGGAGCTTGCAGTGAGCTGAGATCTGGCCACTGCACTCCAGCCTGGGCGACAGAGCGAGACTCCATCTCAAAAAAAAAAAAAAAGAAAAGAAAATTGTTCACTTGTGCAGGGATGATATGCCCTGAAAAAAATTAGCTGAAGAATTGGAGAGAAAAGCCTCCTTCAAAAACTGCCCCCAGCTTTGACTGAGGTCACAGGATCTCCTGGAAAACACAGTGAGAGTGTGAACAGGGGCCAGGGGAGATTCTCTGTGCTTCTTCAGCCCCCGCTGTGGAGGGCGGACAGGAACCGGCCGTGCTAGGATGAAAGCAGAGTGGGGCACTGGCCCTGGACTCCAGCTGCAGGGCCAGGAGGGGCCTCAGGAGGAAATGGCGTTTAAATTAGAACATGATGGGCATGCGTCGAGAATTTGACAGCAAAGAAGCTTGCAGGTTATTGTAGCCTAAAGAGTCATGGGTGAGTCACAGGCTGAACTAAATAGTGGGTTTTCACTACAGTGTTATTACTTCAGGAAAATAAGAGGAAACACTAATACTTGCTGAGGGTGACGTATTAAACCAAAGCGCAGGGGAGGTTAAACAGATCGCGGTGACTGGCCAAAAATACAATGCTTAACTCAAAGAAATGCCAGGGTGCCTTATTCACCATGAGAGTGGGGCTTGGGGAACAGCAACAAGGCAGTGACGAAGGTTAGTGTGAACAGGAGTAGGTGAAGAGCCACTAATCTTCGCCATAAATAACTACCCAGTGTAGTCCCTCAAATTCTATCCATGGAGTATGTAGTAAAAGTGTTATTTGAGGTCAGTACGTGGATTCTTAAATAACTAATATTGGGAATATTAACTCTATTTTTAAAAAGTCAGATCCCAAGACACATAATACGCTACTCAGATAGAAATCTGCATGCTATAAAAAGCAGTGTAATTAGAACTAAATATTTGAAAAAATATATAATCTTACATTTTCCATAAGCTGCAAGGAAAAAAAAATGTTTTTCACAATAGCTAAAAGACTTTGTATGGCCAAGTAACAAACCAAGATAAAATATATGCAGCCCATGTAACTGCGCACGCCTTAGCCTCCCTGCCTCCAGCCTCTACCCTCCCTGCCTCCCACCCTCCAGCCTCCCTGCCTCCCACCCTCCAGCCTGCCTGTCTCCCACCTTCCCTCCTCTCTGCCTCCCACCCTCTAGCTTGCCTGTCTCCCACCCTCCAGCCTCCCTGCTTCCCACCCTCCAGCCTGCCTGTCTCCCACCGTCCCACCCTCCCGCCTCCCTGCCTCCCACCCTCCTGCCTCCCTGCCTCCCACCCTCCAGCCTGCCTGTCTCCCACCGTCCCACCCTCCCGCCTCCCTGCCTCCCACCTTCCCGCCTGCCTGTCTCCCACCCTCCCGCCTCCCTGCCTCCCACCCTCCAGCCTGCCTGTCTCCCACCCTCCCACCCTCCCGCCTCCCTGCCTCCCACCCTCCCGCCTCCCTGCCTCCCACCCTCCTGCCTGCCTGTCTCCCACCCTCCAGCCTGCCTGTCTCCCACCCTCCCACCCTCCCGCCTCCCTGCCTCCCACCCTCCAGCCTGCCTGTCTCCCACCCTCCAGCCTGCCTGTCTCCCACCTTCCCTCCTTTCTGCCTCCCACCCTCCAACCTGCCTGTCTCCCACCTTCCCTCCTCTCTCTCTCCCACCCTCCCACCTTCCTGCTTCCCATCCTCCAGCCTGCTGGCACGTGGCTCCTCCTCTACACAGCCTCCCAGGAGGAGAAAAGAGGAGACAATACCTGATAATACCTGGAAGGTGATATTAAGAAGGGAAAATATATAAATTCACAATTCAAAAAAGCAAAGTGCTCAATAAGCATGAGATGATGTTCAGCTCGTAAATATAAGAAACTAAACATAAAACTAACAACATCATACCATCTTTTCTCTCCTAGGACTGGAAAATATTTTTTAAGTGACAGTTACTCGAGTTGGTTGAGATGCGCACTGTTGGCACCAACGTGGACAGACGACCGTTTGACAAGATCCATGAAAGTAAAAAGGCATGTTTGTAACTGGACAAAAAATGCTCTATTTTAGAAATCTTTTCCTCAGAACCTGCTCTTACTGGACAAATCTGTACATTTATGACTCTTCACCTTTTTATTTATCTTTTACAAGTTTTGGCTCAGCCATGTATACACATGCTTAAAACTAAAAACAATGTATAATGTGCACAGAGGAGAGAGTTGCTTCGTTACCCCCATAACGGCTCATCTCTGCCAAGACCAAGATAACTCCTTTATTAGTTTTTGCAGAGTTTTTACACAAATACAGCAAATGAAAATACATAGTTGGGTGGTTTAGAAATTGCAGACCCATGCTTGTGTAAAAAAACCAACCTGTGAAGTAAAGCACGGCATTCATCTGCAGTCCCCTAAGTGAAGCCTGATGGTCAAATGCTGCATCCTGAAGGTATTTGGTTAAGCTCTGCAGGCTGCCCACCCCCGTCCCATAGGTATGGTTGTCATTCATTTGAAATACAGGTCTGTTCATTTGCTTCTGTCTGCATACCATTTGGGCATTTCCACCCACCTGCGTTGATTCTTTTATGTAGTGCTAAAACAACAATACAAATGGTCTATTCAATGAAGTGATGTATTTGTGGGATAGGTATGTGAAATTTAACGTGGTTCTCAAAGCACAAAAAACCCTACTGAGAAGCGTCCTGCAATTAACTTTTCTGTTCTGTTCCCAGCCCCATCCGTGACAAGCTTGGCCTTCCGTTCTCTGTGTCTGTGTTCTACAATTAAGCAGATACATGTATCTTATTTTCAATAATTTACACACATTGTGAAACACTTTAGACATATTTTGTACTATTTCCCACATAGTAATATATCCTGGAAGTCAGTTTTAGTCACTTTCTGTGGCCCTTTCTCTCCTCTTTATTTTACAGCTCTTTTCTATTCCACTGTGCAGATGCCACACAATTTCCTCACCCACTCTCCAAGGCATAGACGTTTAGGCCATTTTCAGTAGTTTTCTATTTCAGTGAGGCAGGCAGTAACCATGTGTTTGTGTTTTATATTGTTGCAGGTGCATCTTCAGGAAGGATTCCTATTGTTGCAGGTGTCCTATTGTTGCAGGTGTATCTTCAGGAAGGATTCCTATTGTTGCAGGCATTCTCAGGAAGGATTCCTATTGCTGCAGGTGCACTGCAAAGATTCTGTTGTTGCAGGTGCATCTTCAGGAAGGATTCCTATTGCTGCAGGTGCATCTTCAGAAGGATTCCTTATTGTTGGAGGCGCATCTTCAGGAAGGATTCCTATTGTTGCAGGTGCATCTTCAGGAAGGATTCCTATTGTTGCAGGTGCATCTTCAGGAAGGATTCCTATTGTTGCAGGTGTATCTTCAGGAAGGATTCCTATTGTTGCAGGTGTATCTTCAGGAAGGATTCCTATTGTTGCAGGTGCATCTTCAGGAAGGATTCTAGGTGAGGGATTGCTCATTCAAAACGTACATGCGTACTTTGATAGATGTTGCCAAATGTTCATTCAAAAGGTTTTCCTAGTTTCCATTCCCACTTGCAACCCTATCATAGCATTTATTTCCCCACAGCCTCACCAGCACTGTGTGTTGTCACCGTTTTCCCCAAATTAATTAGGTAAGAAATGGTATCTCAGTGTAACTTCTATTTGCATTTCTCAAACTATGAGTGACCTTTGACTATCTTTTCATATATTTAAGGGACATCCCCCCCAACACACTTTTTTTTTCAGATGGAGTCTCGCTCTGTTGCCCAGGATGGAGTGCAATGGCACCATCTCGGCTCACTGCAACCTCCACCTCCTGGGTTCAAGAGATTCTCCTGCCTCAGTCTCCTGAGTAGCTGGGATTACAGGTGCCCGCCACCACACCCGGCTAATTTTTGTATTTTTAGTAGAGACAGGGTTTCACCATGTTGGTCAGGCTGATCCCAAACTCCTGACCTCGTGATCCACCCACCTTGACCTCCCAAAGTGCTGGGATTACAGGCGTGAGCCACTGCGCACAGCCCATCCCCCTTTTTAATAACACCTTTGTTAAGACATAATTTACATATCATACAATTATCCCTGTTCATTGTTTGTGTGTTTATTTTCTTTCCAACTTTAATTTT